ATCGATGCCTCCAATGACGCTATCTCTTTCATTGTTACCCAACGCTTAGGGTTACCTGAACTGTACTCATATCCTTCCATATCCTTTTCTGTACATAATGCCCTGAATCTTTTCTACAACGCCCGGAGAACTGCCCCCTTTATTCTATGTACCCAACGCACTAGAAGACCAGTTCTTAAAGCCTTTAGTCGTATCCTTATTCTAGTCCTCCTCTGTTCCTCTGGTGATGTAGAGGCTAACCCAGGCCCTGCAGCCCCCAGTATCACTCCTACTCCCCAGGAGCTATCATTTGTTGACTTCTGTAACCGTAAAAGTCTTGGTTTTCTGCACATAAATATCAGAAGCCTCCTTCCTAAGTTTGAGTTATTCACTGCGTTAGCACACTCCGCCAACCCTGATGTTCTAGCAGTGTCTGAATCCTGGCTTAGGAAGGCCACCAAAAATTCTGAAATTTCCATCCCCAACTATAACATTTTCCGTCTAGATAGAACTGCCAAAGGGGGTGGAGTTGCAATCTACTGTAGAGATAGCCTGCAGAGCTCCATCATACTATCCAGGTCTGTGCCCAAACAGTTTGAGCTTCTACTTCTAAAAATCCACCTTTCCAGAAATAAATCTCTCACTGTTGCCGCTTGCTACAGACCCCCCTCAGCCCCCAGCTGTGCCCTGGACACCATATGTGAATTGATTGCCCCCCATCTATCCTCAGAGTTCGTACTGCTTGGTGACCTAAATTGGGATATGCTTAACACCCCGGCCATCCTACAATCTAAACTAGATGCCCTCAATCTCACACAAATTATCAACGAACCTACCAGGTACAACCCTAAATCCGTAAACATGGGTACCCTCATAGATATCATCCTGACTAACTTACCCTCTAAATACACCTCCGCTGTCTTCAACCAGGATCTCAGCGATCACTGCCTTATTGCCTGCGTCCGTAACGGGTCCGCGGTCAAACGACCACCCCTCATCACTGTCAAACGCTCCCAAAAACACTTCAGCGAGCAGGCCTTCCTAATTGACCTGGCCCAGGTATCCTGGATGGATATAGATCTCATTCCGTCAGTAGAGGATGCCTGGTTGTTCTTTAAAAGTAATTTCCTCTCAATCTTAAATAGACATGCCCCATTCAAAAAATACAGAACTAAGAACAGATATAGCCCCTGGTTCTCCTCAGACTTGACTGCCCTTGACCAACACAAAAACATCCTGTGGCGTACTGCATTAGCATCAAATAGCCCCCGTGATATGCAACTTTTCAGGGAAGTTAGGAACCAATATACACAAGCAGTTAGGAAAGCAAAGGCTAACTTTTTCAAACAGAAATTTGCATCCTGTAGCACTAACTCCAAAAAGTTTTGGGACACTGTAAAGTCCATGGAAAATAAGAGCACTTCCTCCCAGCTGCCCACTGCACTGAGGCTAGGAAACACTATCACCACCGATAAATCTACAATAATCGAGAATTTCAACAAGCATTTTGCTACGGCTGGCCATGCTTTCCACCTGGCTACCACTACCCCGGCCACCAGCTCTGCACCCTCCGCTGCAACTTGCCCATGCCCCCCCCGCTTCTCCTTCACACAAATCCAGACAGCTGATGTTCTAAAAGAGCTGCAAAATCTGGACCCCTACAAATCATCTGGGCTAGACAATCTGGACCCTTTCTTTCTAAAACTAGCCGCCGAAATTGTCGCAACCCCTATTACTAGCCTGTTCAACCTCTCTTTCGTAACGTCTGAGATCCCCAGAGATTGGAAAGCTGCCGCGGTCATCCCCCTCTTCAAAGGGGGTGACACTCTAGATCCAAACTGTTACAGACCCATATCCATCCTGCCCTGCCTTTCAAAAGTTTTTGAAAGCCAAGTCAACAAACAGATCACCGACCATTTCGAATCCCACCGTACCTTCTCCGCTATGCAATCCGGTTTCCGAGCTGGTCATGGGTGCACTTCAGCCACGCTCAAGGTCCTAAATGATATTATAACCGCGATCGATAATAGACAGTACTGTGCAGCCGTTTTCATTGACCTGGCCAAGGCTTTCGACTCTGTCAACCACCGCATTCTTATTGGCAGACTAAATAGCCTTGGTTTCTCAAATGACTGCCTCGCCTGGTTCACCAACTACTTCTCAGATAGAGTTCAATGTGTCAAATCGGAGGGCCTGTTGTCTGGACCTATGGCAGTCTCTATGGGGGTGCCACAGGGTTCAATTCTTGGGCCAACTCTTTTCTCTGTGTATATCAATGACGTCGCTCTTGCTGCTGGTGACTCTCAGATCCACCTCTACGCAGACGACACCATTTTGTATACATCTGGCCCTTCATTGGACACTGTGTTAACAAACCTCCAAACGAGCTTCAATTCCATACAACACTCCTTCAGTAGCCTCCAACTGCTCTTAAACACTAGTAAAACTAAATGCATGCTCTTCAACCGAACGCTGCTAGCACCCGCCCACCCGACTAGAATCACTACTCTAGACGGGTCTGACCTAGAGTATGTGGACAACTACAAATATCTAGGTGTCTGGTTAGACTGTAAACTCTCCTTCCAGACTCACATTAAGAATCTCCAATCCAAAGTTAAATCTAGAATCGGTTTCCTATTTCGCAACAAAGCCTCCTTCACTCATGCTGCCAAACATGCCCTCGTAAAACTGACTATCCTACCGATCCTTGACTTCGGCGATGTCATTTACAAAATAGCCTCCAACACTCTACTCAGCAAATTGGATGTTGTCTATCACAGTGCCATCCGTTTTGTCTCCAAAGCCCCATATAATACCCACCACTGTGACCTGTACGCTCTTGTTGGCTGGTCCTCACTACATATTCGTCGCCAAACCCACTGGCTCCAGGCCATCTATAAATCACTGCTAGGCAAATCCCCGCCTTATCTTAGCTCATTGGTCACCATAGCAACACCCACCCGTAGTCTGCGCTCCAGCGGGTATATCTCACTGGTCATCCCCAAAGCCAACACCTCCTTTGGCCGCAATTCCTTCCAGTTCTCTGCTGCCAATGACTGGAACAAATTGCAAAAATCTCTGAAGCTGGAGACACTTATCTCCCTCACTAACTTTAAGCATCAGTTGTCAGAGCACCTTACCGATCACTGCACCTGTACACAGCCCATCTGAAATTAGCCCGCCCAACTACCTCATCCCTATATTGTTATTTATTTTGCTCATTTGTACCCCAGTATCTCTATTTGCACATCATCTCTTGCACATCATTCCAGTGTTAATACTAAATTGTAATTATTTTGCACTATAGCCTATTTTATTGCCTTACCTCCATAACTTGCTAAATTTGCACACTGTATATTATATGTATTTCTGTTGTATTTTTGACTTTGTTTTGTTTTACCCCATATGTAACTCTGTGTTGTTGTTTTTATCGCACTCCTTTGCTTTATCTTGGCCAGGTCGCAGTTGTAAATGAGAACTTGTTCTCAACTGGTTTACCTGGTTAAATAAAGGTGAAATAAAAAAATAAAAATATTGCGGGAAGCTTGTGGAAGGCTACCTGAAATGTCTGACCCAAGTTAAACAATTTAAAGGCAATGCTACCAAATACTAATTGAATGTATGTAAACTTCTGACCCACTGGGAATGTGATGAAAGAAATAAAAGCTTAAATAAATCTCTCTCTACCATTATTCTGACATTTCACATTCTTAAAATAAAGTGGTGATCCTAACTGATTTTTACTAGGATTAAATGTCAGGAATTGTGAAAAACTGAGTTTAAATGTATTTGGCTAAGGTGTATGTAAACTTCCGACTTCAACAATACATTTAACAAATAGGTTTAATATAAACCTACATTTTAGACTTTTTAACGGACCTTTAGTTCATGGTCAGGTAAAAATGTATAAAGTACTTGCAAATGACTCACCGGTTTGGTGGCTGCACCTGTTGCGATAGCCTACTTTCCAACCAGCGCTCAGATGTAATGATTGTCCAATGCTTTTCACGTCTTCCCACTGTTTAGTCGGAAAAACTACAGTATAATACCATTTAAATTATATATTTACCACAGTCTTGCTGATAATAATTATAACATTTTACTTAGTCCAATTAATAAAAAGAAATACAGACCATCCGAATTCCCCAAACGTCTACAGGTAAAGTGCCATGTGTCACTTGATCTCGAGAAGGAAACCAGTTTGACGTTTTGTTTGTCTCACTCTGTATGAGTCGCCACTCCCACGGTAATGCTTGGCTAGCCGTGTGTATCCTGTTACCCAGTTTCGCTAGACATGGCTGTTTGCGCATCTCCTCTCACCTGTATGTACAGTATGTGTGTGTTCGTGCGTGCGTATTACAAATATACTGTATACCCAGAACACTTATTACATTATGCATTCTTAATTACAAACTCACCTCCCTTGCATAATCGAGTGCGTCTGTTGGTGAGTCCTCTATTTCAACGGGCATGCGCTCTGTAGGGTGCACATTGGAAGGAGAGAGGGCATGGGCAGATTCAGGAATTTACAGTGTGTGAAAGCTCTTTATTTCCTTGGCCCCCTCTCTCCAAGAATGCTGCTGAATCATTGGATCCTGCTCATCTTGGAAGTGCCAACTATTCAACCCCCAGTTTCAAAACCTCCATACCCTTGTACAAACCCAAAGGAAAATGGAGACAATTCCCCACCCTTTGATAAGAATATGAGGATGACAGCCTGGAACCAATTTAGAACATTTAGAATAAGAACTGAAGGACTGAAGTTTGTAGGCTTCACTTCTTCTAAACAGTTTGTCTGTTACAATGAACTTTCACAATGATTGTGATGTTAAGTTTAGGTTCACTGTGGTTAGGCTAGATACAGGTTGCAGTTCACTGACTATCTTGACGTCATGGTTCAGATATGGTAGCATCATGTGCCACAGAAACTGACGACTCAACCCAGTGCAAGTAGTCTGCTGACTTTTTAAAAATTGCAGGGCTTTCAAAATAAAACGTATATACTGTAATAGCTTAAACATCGTAGACTAACATTTTTTATTCACCATCACACAATTCACAAAACTAAAACATGTTTGTTGTCAGTATGAAACGCTCATTATTATAAAAAAAATAGTTTGACCTTTGACATAAGCCAAAGATAGTTGAAATGTTCAATAAAGTATATCTACATTTTCAAGTTTGATAAGGCTTAAAAGCTCTACAAACTAAGACTACATTACACATGTCAATGTCAAACACTCAGTATCAAACATGGCTGTAACTGTGCATAGTAAAGTAGCTCTGTATAAACATATGATATCCAAATTATGACACATAATAAAATAATGTATCCACTTAAGGGCAGACTTAGAAAAACAGGCCTTGCATTTCCAATTGTATGGCATTGTATAGTTCCCTACTTGTTAAAAATAACTTTTTTCTAGTTAATTGTATGAAATGCAAATGTCTAAGAAACTTAAATAAAATCAGTTTGGATACAGTCAAAAATATCAGAACATGTGGTAGAGAATAAATAATAACCACATAATATTGTAATGCATAATAATTGTAATTGTAGGGACAAACTATCCCGTAAACCTTCAAACCTAAACAAAAGTTTTGGCATTTTCAGACATTCTTTTGGTCAAACCTAAAAGGCACAGACAAATACATTTCAGTAAATGTAAAAAGGCTACACCTAGGTCAAATGGGGGTGAAGTGTAACAGAAGTGGTTTGGTAAACTACACTGGTTTGATCAGGAACCGTGTCTGAGACATGAAGATTTAACTCTGTGAGCTAACACTGGCTTTAGGCACCTGCACATCACGGGTTCGTTACTCATTTTGTCACTGCCATAGTCTGTCACTCTGTAACTCAGAGTATTGTTGATCTGTGCATCACTCACAAGAGGCTTCTCTCCATTTCCCCATGGTGGGATAGAGGCGGTCTGAGGCTGTGTGGTGTGTTAGTGCCCCCGGTGGTCTTATTTAGGAACTGCTGCTGAGTCTGCGGCGAATGAGAGAAGCAGGCTTGGTCTCAGTGTCCTCCTGGTCGCTCTCACACTGCCTCTGACAAGTGGACAAATGCAGAGATAGTCAGACATAAGCATATCAACAGCATCGTCGATATGTCGATATTGAGAGTATAAAATGCTTATAACAGTTCAAATAAAGGGATAGTAAATGATTATGAAATACGGGTGCAGAACTTCAGCCTGCTAGGGGTGTAGTTTTCCTGTTTTTGTTCCTTCCCTGGCATGTAATTGATTAGTATATTACGATTGATTAAAATTGGTGTTATTGATTGCTCAGACAGTACACACAGCTAGTTCTACAGGGCTTAGTCAGACTTTAAGAAAAGGACAGAAACCAGCATGTCCCCTGTTCTAGACCCAGTCCTTTGTGATCTCTCTCACCAGTTCCGGGTCCTCCTGGGACCTGCTTTTACACTGCAACTGCAGGCGAAATAGTCTGTTACACGCCCACACCATGTTATAGGACATCTACAGAGAGAGAAAGGGGGAGGATTTAAGAAGGGTATGAAAAGAGAAGGTGTCCATAGGAGATCAGAACTTTGGATAGAAAAAAGGCAAATACAATGCAATACAATGTCTGGACCAGCAGGTGTCCCCCTCTCACCAATATTATAGGACTATTGCACACCAACGCAGAGACAGGGTAGGAGAAACTTAGAGGAAGCTACTTTGGAGTATTGAGATGCACCACTGGGACTCACCTTCCATTTCCTCTTGGCGTTGAACTTCTTGAAGCTTTTTATGTTGATGGACGATCGACTTCTGTTAGCCGCCTGTTTGCGCGTGAGGGGCTGATAAACAAGGAAATATATATAACATGATATTTTAATATACGTTTTGCCTTTATCCAAAGTGACATGCAGTTCACAGCTTTTCAGTGTGAAGCATACTCACAACTCAAGCTTCCCTACTCAAACTCAAACTCATACTCAAACCTTCAGCACAATAATGTGCTTATGTTGGGTTTATGTATTAAAGTTACCCCAATCAAATCACAATTCTCTCTTCTCTCACCTTGATCCAAGGGTGTACTAGACATTCATCCGCTGTCATTCTCTCTCTGTAGGAGGAACACGCATCATTAGGTAATACTTTGTTGCGTAGTATACAGAGGTTATAGACAATAACCATATCAATTACACTAATAAATGAATGAGTGATCATTTGTTTACATTGGGTCTTTGAGCAGCAGTTTCTCAATAAAGTCTTTGGCCATGATGCTGGTCTGGTTGAAATAGTTCTCTTCAAACTCATAGATCATCCCCACGATGTTCTTTAGTGTCTCCTCGTCATTATCTCCTTGAAAGGGGGACAAACCACTCAACCTGTAGAATAGGGGGATATTAGAGAATATGTGTAGCTACCAGAGGAGGCTGGTGAGAGGAGTTATAAGAGGACAGGCTCATTGTAATGGCTGGAATTGAATTAATGGAATGGAGTCAAACATGAGGTTTCGTATGTTTGATACCGTTCCATTATTTCATTCCAGATATTACAATGAGCCCATCCTCCTATAGCTTCTCCCACCAGCCTCCACTTGTAGCTACGATATGTCAGCGATATGTAAAATTCAAATTGTCCGCTGGTTTTGTATACTCACAATATGTAGGTTATCACACCAATACTCCTGGAGAGGAAAGAGAAGAGAGATATGAGTGACTTTGTGAGCAGAAAACTATTTACCCTGACAGTCAAGGCGGCTGGGACATTTTTTTGTTGTTCTTCTAATGAATAACATTGCAGTAATGGTTACCACATGTCAGCTGCCTCGCTCAGTGGTTCGTAGTTAATCACCTCAGGGGCTGGCAGGAGAACGGAAAGGGAGAAGGGGGTGAGAGAGGAAGAGAGAAAGGGAGAGATAATGAGATACACATAACACAATCCAGCCTTATCCAGAAAAACAGAGTATGTGTAAGAGAAGAAAAGAATGTAGTAAAAGAGAGAGACATGTTTTGTAAGGAGCTGAGAATAAAATAGAGGAGAGTGTAACTTCCTTTTGTCACAACTGTCACTGTGTCATTGTGTTGGGAAACACTAGGTGATGCTAACACTGCTGTTGCACAATATAATGGCATTCTCTCACAACAGACTTTAAATACTCAAAATAAATCCTAAAATCTTACAGTAAAACACATGAAAATGGCCAACTAATTGGGGAATGAGTGGGTTATGGTAGAACCCATGGCCCTACAATAATACCCATGCAACCCTCCTGCCCTTTCTTAAAGTAATCATTCCGTTACACTCTTTGTGTTGGCGACTCAGTTTGTATCATGTATTGCAGGTCTGTTGAAACTTCTCACCTAGTCACACATCTCTCTCTCACTACCCCCTGCGCCCCACCACACGCTCTGATGTCACATCCTGTCCACAACCACACTACTACCCCTTGGAAACTGTTTCCATGGAAACCTCAGGCACCTTTCTAGAGGCTCAGGCTAAATAAAAACTCAAACAGACAGAAAGACACACTGTACACACGTGAAACATACACACCACAATCACACATTAACAAAATGCTCACACAACATGACCCACATACTGACTGACACAATTTCCACCAAACAAACACAGTCAGTAAACACTTACCAATGTACTGTGGGGTCCCAGATAGGCTCATGTACTCCTCCCCCTGTTTGAGGTGGTGGGCCAGTCCAAAGTCAATGATCTTGATGTGAGGGTGTGGCATTGTCTTGTCAGCCAGCATGATGTTCTCTGGCTAAATGGAAAACAGAGAGTGTTACACACACAATGCCAAATCCTGACGGAATGAAAAACAGCCCAAATGGATTTAGGCAAGGGGCAACAGAGTCAGAAAAGGGGAGGCCCGTCCCACCTAATTCATGTTACGGGGAAACACTGCTTTCTCTCCGCTCTATTTCTATTCCTGTGTGTCTCACCTTGAGGTCAAAGTGGCCAATTTTCTTAGTGTGCATAAAGCCCACTCCCTTGAGGATCTGCTTCAGGAACTCTATGGCCTCCTCCTCAGACAGGCTCTCCTTCTCTGCTATGAAATCAAACAGCTCCCCACCACTGATACTAGAGCAGAGAGAGGGTGGTGGTGGGGGGGGGGGGGGGGGGGGAGAGAAAGAAGAGAGAGAAAAGGTACAAAAATGAAGTAGATGTAATTTTGTCAGGAGAATATCTTTATCACCTACAGATGTAGGATCTTAATTTTGATCACCCTGTTGCAGGAGAACATTTAAAACTTGCAATATATTTCAGGTTTAAAAGGCTTCTGAAGTTTGTAATTTCCACTTTGAAATTAAGATCCTACATCTGTCGACTTATAATAACTAGACCAAGTTATGAAAAAGTTCGCTTCAAGATCTCAAGGGGCTGTTGTTCAGTTAAATTCATAGGCTTTGAGTTGTCTGTCTGGCCTGGACTATTAGATTAGTGCCAGTAATGATAGGAGGATTAGATGGGCTGACGGGACCAAGTGCTTCTCATTGTGTTCCCATTAAACAAGGTGGGACAGAGCCTGCTGTGGGCATAGGGGGAAGACCGACCGACCGACAGACCGACAGACCGACAGACCGACAGACCGACAGACCGACCGACAGACCGACAGAGACCAGCAGAAGTCTCCCCCTCCCTCCATCTGTCCCCACTTGACTCACAGCTCCACGATGAGCACCATCTCGGCGCGACTCTCAAACACGTCCCTGAGGGCCATGATGTTGGCGTGCTGCAGGCTCTGCAGTATCTCCACCTCCCTCTCCACGCTCCTCCTCTCCAGGCCCAGGCGGCTGCTGGCGCTCCGACGCAGCTTCAGGAACTTCCCCGCCCAGCGGACCCCGGACGCCCGCTCCAGCACCGCACGCACCTGCCCAAAGTGACCACTAGAGGGGGGCAGAGAGGGATGATATTGTAGGGAACTTTTGCATTGTGCTCTTTTTACGCTGAACTACAGTCGTGGTCAAAAGTTTTGAGAATGACACAAGTATTGGTCTTCACAAAGTTCGCTGCTTCAGTGTTATGAGATATTTTTGTCAGATGTTACTATGGTATACTGAAGTATAATTACAAGCATTCCATAAGTGTCAAAGGCTTTTATTGACAATTACATTAAGTTTATGCAAAGAGTCAATATTTGCAGTGTTGACCCTTCTTTTTCAAGACCTCTGCAATCCGCCCTGGCATGCTGTCAATTAACTTCTGGGCCACATCCTGACTGATGGCAGCTCATTCTGGCATAATCAATGCTTGTCAGAATCTGTGGGTTTTTGTTTGTCCACCCGCCTCTTGAGGATCGACCACAAGTTCTCAAGAAAAGGCATTGGTCGTCACCAAACTGTTCTTGGATGGTTGGGAGAAGTTGCTCTCGGAGGATGTGTTGGTACCTTTCTTTATTCATGGCTGTGTTCTTAGGCAAATTTGTGAGTGAGCCCACTCCCTTGGCTGAGAAGCAACCCCACACATGAATGGTCTCAGGATGCTTTACTGTTGGCATGACACAGGACTGATGGTAGCGCTCACCTTGTCTTCTCCGGACAAGGTGTTTTCCGGATGCCCCAAACAATCGGAAAGGGGATTCATCAGAGAAAAGGACTTTACCCCAGTCCTCAGCAGTCCAATCCCTGTACCTTTTGCAGAATATCTGTCTGTCCCTGATGTTTTTCCTGGAGAGAAGTGGCTTCTTTGCTGCCCTTCTTGACACCAGGCCATCCTCCAGATGTCTTCGCCTCACTGTGCGTGCAGATGCACTCACAACTGCCTGCTGCCATTCCTGAGCAAGCTCTGCACTGGTGGTGCCCCGATCCCGCAGCTGAATCAACTTTAGGAGACGGTCCTGGCACTTGCTGGACTTTCTTGGGTGCCCTGACGCCTTATTCACAACAATTGAACCTCTCTCCTTGAAGTTCTTGATGATCCAATAAATGGTTGATTTAGGTGCAATCTTACTAGCAGCAATATCATTGCCTGTAAAGCCCTTTTTGTGCAAAGCAATGATGACGGCACGTGTTTCCTTGCAGGTAACCATGGTTAACAGAGGAAGAACAATGATTTCAAGCACCACCCTCCTTTTAAAGCTTCCAGTCTGTTATTCTAACTCAATCAGCATGACAGAGTGATCTCCAGCCTTGTCCTCGTCAACACTCTCACCTGTGTTAACGAGAGAATCACTGACATGATGGCAGCTGGTCCTTTTGTGGCAGGGCTGAAATGCAGTGGAAATGTTTTTTGGGGATTAAGTTCATTTTCATGGCAAAGAGGGACTTTGCAATTAATTGCAATTCATCTGATCACTCTTCATGACATTCTGGAGTATATGCAAATTGACATCATCAAAACTGAGGCAGCAGACATTGTGAAAATTAGTATTTGTATCATTCTCAAAACTTTTGACCACGACTATACTCCTGTGATGCTAATAGGCCTAAAGCTTGTTTGAATTTGAGATGAGAGAGAGTAACAGAGTGGGGCATTGCACCTTTCTAGTACTATTTACTTAGAAGTGTATTCCTAGCTTTATATGTAAATTAAGTAAAGTTCCCCCAATTCAAATCAATTCAAATGAACATCAATTCAAGTCTAGCGCTGTTCCATTCTCTACTCCAAACCTTCTCACTCACCTGCCAAGCACCTCTCCAATCTCATAGTAGTCCTCCACATTCTGCAGCTTAATCTGAGCCATGCTTCCTCTTTTTCCCTCTCCCCCCCCCCCTCACTCTTTTTCTGGTTGCGTATAGCAGCAAGATCGAGGCAGATAAACTATAAACGAATGGAAACAGACACAGACATAAATTGAAAAAGGCACACGCACGCACACTGACCCACACAACCATGGTCACTGGCAGATGTTTTGGGTTGGCGTGGGGGGGGGGGGGGGGGGGGGTTTGGAGGGATGTTTTCACATTTATCATCCTCCATACTTCGCGGCTATGCACACAACAGCCAAACCCCATGATTTGTATCACATTTGTTTTTTTAATCACTTTGCTGCGATTTTCACAAGTATGTGGTAGTTTCACAACAGTTAGTACAAAACTCAAAACAGATCCTCAAAAAGGCAGTTGTTTTAAACCACTAAGCACATTTTCAATTGACTCGATTCAATACTTAGCGTTGAAGATCTGCTCTGTAGTGCGATTGAAATCTAGGCCCCAATTCAATCTGTATTGCGAAAGTTCAGCGCTATAACGGTAAAGGTAATTTCTGATTGAGGCGACATATGCAGCGTTTACCGTGAATCTTGTCTCCCCGAACGTGGGAACATTGTCTTTAAATTTAAATCACGCTATAGCGATTTGATCACACATGGGATAGAAATTAGGGAAATTATATTTTTAGTCCATTTTTATGGGTAGTGCCAGTGTATTGACTAATGTGAAAACAGTGTAATATACTGGAATTTACAGTACTATAGGACAATTTTTTGATTTTTTTGCTATTAGATTAACTGTTAGTTAAAACAACTAAATTGTGAAGATATCATGATGTTGTGCTTTGGTGATTAAATCAATGTTCTCATGGTATTTCACAGTAAACTTATATTTTGGATCAATGGTAGTGTGGTGAAAGTTTCCAAACAAAATGAATACAAAATAAAAGGTTTTGAATAGAAGACTTGCTGTGTTACAAGTGTTACCAGTTTGGAGTTTTGTACTAAGAGTTTATTAAATTCTCCACATACTTGTGAAAAGAGCATCAAAGCGATTGAAAAGAACTGTCAATAAACAACTACACTGCCTCCTTTTAGGTATGCATTTCCTGTGTGTGTTTGATGGTTAGTCCTGCACTAACACTGATAACTTGAACAAAAGCAGACACTGACAGCGCCCTTATCCGGATGTTTTATATAGAACATACCTTTTCTGCTGTGTGTCTGTATATATGTGTGTGTGTGTGTAGGTGTGTGTGATGACATCACCTTGCATGAGGTATGGAAGTTGTTTATGAATGGTAATGGTTTATAGAGATGTTATTACATCACGTTAATAAAGGCTTAACAAATGTTCCATTATGGCTTGTTGATTTAGAAACGAAAACAGAATTATTATTATTTACACACAACCACCCACACACAGCCTTCCCTGCTAATGCTGGAGTGCAAAGGCATGCTCTGTTTCTGTAAATATTTACAAATCCCTCATTTATCAGTGAACCCCCCAATGTGATGTCAGCACGCACACACTAACTAGCCACGGGCCAATGTGTTCTGCTTAACCACAACACAGCTGGAAATCCTTCTGTGAAAAAAGAGAAAGACAGAGAGAAGGTGTGTCCATATGCCCTGTGCATGTACAGTATGCGGTCTGTATGCAGGGCCTGGGGGGTTTCTACTGTGTATGAGTGATGCATGGCATGATAACGGGATCCAATCAATAGTCAGATAATAAATCTATGTACTCCTCACACTCAGTCATGCCAAGTTCTATCACTACATATCAAATTGTATTTGTCACATGCGCTGAATACAACTGGTGTAGACTTTACTGTGAAATGCTTGCTTACGAGCCCTTCCCAACGATGCAGAGTTTAAAGATAATAATAACAATTAAATAGTAACACAAGAGGAAGAAAATAAAACACACAAGAATGGAGCTATATACAGGAGTACCAGTACCAGATCAATGTGCGGTAGCAATTTGGGCCTTCCTCTGACACCAGCCTGATATAAAGGTCCTGGATGGCAGGGAGCTCAGCCCCAGTGATGTACTGGGCTGTTCGCACCACCCTCTGTAGCGCTTTGCGATCATTTACCATACCAAGCGGTGATGCAGCCAGTCAAGATGCTCTCGATGGTGCAGCTGTTGAGGGTCATCGTGGCGGAGGTGTTGTTGCCTACCTCACCCCTGGGCGGCGTAAGAGAGTCCGTGATCCATTGCGAGGGAGGGGTTCACCCAGGTTCCCTTACTTGGTGATGAGGCTTGAGGGACCTATGGCTTGAACAGCTGAGATGTGTAGGGGGACACATTCTCAATAGTTATTTCCGCTCTTGTCAGGTGGGAGAGGGCATGGAAGCTGCAATTGAGATTGCATCCATCTGTGTATCTGTTGGGCAGTAAGCAATTGAGTGGGTCTGGAGTCGTGGTGAATGGTGGTTGATGTTGGTCATGAACAGCCCTTCGAAGCCCCTAATTACGATGTAGGCAGGGGTTGTCTATTAGGCAATGGGGTCAGCTTGAACCATGTGTGGGTTACAGACAGGGACAAGGTGATGATTGGACATGTCTTGAAGACCTGCAGCTGGTCTGGCATGCTTTACGACTGTTTCCACTCTTGGTCCAGTGGAGGGCCATTGTGAAGTGCAATTGAGATTGCATCATCAGTGGATCTGTTGGGGCAGTATGCGAATTGGAGTGGGTCTAGGGAGTCTGGGATGATGGTGTTGATGTTTGTCATGACCAGCCTTTCAAAGCACTTCATAATTACAGATGTGAGTGCTACAGGGCGATAGTCATTTAGGCAATGGTGGTAAACTTGAAACATGTTGGGATTACAAACTGGAACAAGGAGATATTGAAAATGTCTGTGAAGACACTTGCCAGCTGGTCTGCGCATGCTTTGAGAACGCGCCCTGGTATTCTGTCTGGCAGGCGGCCTTGTGATTGTTAACCCGTTTAAACGTTTTTCTCACATCTCACGCAAGGCACCATGTTATATTCCTCGAAGCAAGCATAAAAGGCATTTCGCTCGTTTGGGAGTTCTGCATCGCAGGGCAACTCATGGCTGGGTTTCCCTTTGTAATCCATTATCGTCTTCAAGCCCTGCCACCTACAACGAGAGTCAGAGCCGGTGTAATAGGAGTCCTCCTATATTGTTATTTTACATGTTTGATGTCTCGTTGGAGGTCATATCGGGCTTTCTTGTATGCGTCCATGTCCCGTTCCTTGTAAGCGGTAGCTCTAGCCTTTAGCCCTGCGCGGATATTGCCTGTAATCCAGGGTTTTTGGTTTGGATACGTTCTTATAGTCACTGTGGGGACGACATGGTCTATGTATTTATTGATGAAGCCTGTGACTGTTGTGGTAAACTCCTCAATGCTATCGGATGAACATCGGAACATATCCCAGTCTGTACTAGCAAAACAGTCTTGTAGCCTCGCGTCTGCTTCATCCAACCATTTCCGTATTGAGCGCATCACTGGTACTTCCTGTTTGAGCTTTTGCTTGTAAACGGGAAGCAGAAGAATGGAGTCATGGTCAGATTTGCCGAAGGGAGGACGAGGGAGAGCTTTGTTTCCGTTTCTGTGGGTAGAATAAAAGTAGTCTAGAGTTTTAGCTCCCCTAGTGGTGCAGGAGACGTGTTGGTAGAAGTGAGGTAGGACCACTGTACTACTTGGCTTTTCTGGGCTCATACATAGCGGCGGGAAGTAGGGGTTCTGAGGGTGCTGCAGCACCCCCTGAAAAATTAGCGGTCCGATATAGCCATCTGTAGCGCGGGCAAAAATGTTCAGCACCCCCAACATCTTCCTGTTGGCTCACAGTTCCTTTTGTGTCTATGTGTGTGTATCTGCTTGTCGTGTGTGTGTTTGTGTTCGCTCGCACCTGTGCGTTTGTCTCTCTGACTGTCTGTCTGACAATATGCATTGATGCAAATTTGAAAAAATATGGTAAAAAAAACAGGGGGTATGTGTCTGTGTGGTGTGCATGCATGTGTGAAATGACAGGGTGTCTGTGTATGTGTGATAGTTTGAAAAGAGAAGAGTCTGTGATGACAGGTTGTTTGTGTCTATGCCTTTGTTGGGAATAAATGGCAGGACATGTGACGTGTATACAGTATGTGTGTGAACCTGTGACTGTGTGTGCGCGTGTATTTGCGTGTATTTGACTGCATGTCATTTGCATGACCCATTCTGGTCCACTACTAGACTACTGTTACACCAGTAAAACATCTACTACAGTACATCCATTGTCAAGGACTGACTGTCCAAATGGAAAAACATATACAGATGCTGTATCTTAATTTGAGCCAGTTTTACACAACAGGAAAATAATCCTGGAGCAACAGGAAATGTGAATTGTTATGTGGATTATAATTAATGGACATTTTTTGTAGGGGTTGATTCCACAGGAGGCTGCTGAGAGGAGGACAGCTCATAATAATGGCTGGAACGAAGCGAATGGAATGGCATCAAACACATGGATGTTTGATGTATTTGATACCATTCCACTAATTCCGCTCAAGCCATTACCATGAGCCCATCCTCCCCAATTAAGGTGCCACCAACCTCCTGTGGTTGATACATTTTTCATTAAGGCAAATCAAGTCTGACATTTTTAAGTGGAAATTACAAACTTTAGAAGCCATTTTAAACATCAAATACACTACACATTTCCATTTCCTGCTGTGCTAAAACCATTCCTGCAACAACAGGATGATCAAATTAAGATATGGCATCTGTATAGCCCCAGAGATTAGGACACAGATAGGGTATCACCAAAACGTTGTCCCACAAGACAACGAGAGAGAGCGAGAGAGAGTGAGAGAGAGAGAGAGAGAGAGAGAGAGAGAGAGAGAATGAATGAGATAGAGAGATGCTGCATGAATGAGAAGTGGGTTATTTATATCAAACAATAGTGAGAATTGACATGAAGAACAGGAGGGGGATGCTTTGGCCACTTGTGTGTGAAGGACAGAGTCTAACGTGGCATCATCCATTCAAACCTGCATCAAGTGACGATTGAAAAGTTGATTTTGTAACAGCTGTGTCCATTGGTTTTGTATACAGTATGACATTACACATCCCTAAAAAAAAAGCCTACAAAACTTGATCTCCATCAAATGGAACCAACAGACAGACACGAGGGAAATGGCTCCTCATAAGTAGGCCTATTCAAATAAACGGATTTTGGGTAACCTTTCGTTTGAGAAAAAGGTCTGTAGACGGTGGTTATAGTTAAACATACTCACCCAAATGGATTCACGATAGTCTCGGGCGCCGCTTTGATGTGAGGTTGGTCTTGTCACAACCTTCAACTTCTTAACTTGTGTAGTAGGCTTTACGAATTCTCGAATTTAAAGTAAAATTGTCTCCCTTGAAATTAAATAATTTGATAATAGAAGTGCCGTATTCCAACAGCAACCGGTTTCCGTGCTGGAGAGAGAGTAGGAGCCAGACTGCTTCGACGGCTCCCTTTATTTCAATGCTCTTTGGTAGCCCAAGCCTACAGGGGAGCTAGAGATACGCGACATACACCATGGCAAGCCCTCGCATACTTTTTAAATTTTTAAACCACATCAATATTCCTGTAGACTATAAAAGGTCCTAAATCAATCCACTGATTAGTCTACTACAATCACATTTATTCGATATGTTGCGTGCCATTTGCAAATAGGCCTACTGCACAGTACACAGGAGTAGTAGCCTAAAGGCAGGGTTGGGTAGGTAACTTTCTAAATGTAATCCGATACAGTTACTAGTTACCCGTCCAACATTGTAATCAGTAACGTAACTTTTGGATTACCCAAACTCAGTAATTTAATCTGATTAGGCTACTTGCAGTTACTTTTGGATTATTTTTTCCCATTAAGAGGCATTAGAAGAAGACCAAAAGGATCGATCAAACGCATTTGGTGTGTCATCATAGTGGTGTCTCTGACTTGTGGTCAGACCAAGCACCATCTCCAAACTCCACCATGGCCAAGACCAAAGAGCTGTCAAAGGACACCAGAAACAAAATTGTAGACCTGCACCAGGCTGGGAAGACTGAATCTGCAATAGGTAAGCAGCTTGGTTTGAAGAAATCAACTGTGGGAGCAATTGTTAGGAAATGGAAGACATACAAGACCACTGATAATCTCCCTCGATCTGGGGCTCCACGCAAGATCTCACCCAGTGGGGTCAAAATTATCACAAGAACGGTGAGAAAAAATCCCAGAACCACACGGGGGGACCTAGTGAATGACCTGCAGAGAGCTGGGACCAAAGTAACAAAGCCTACCATCAGTAACACACTACGCCGCCAGGGACTCAAATCCTGCAGTGCCAGACGTGTCCCCCTGCTTAAGCCAGTACATGCCTAGGCCCATCTGAAGTTTGCTAGAGTGCATTTGGATGATCCAGAAGAGGATTGGGAGAATGTCATATGGTCAGATGAAACCAAAATAGAACTTTTTGGTAAAAACTCAACTCGTCGTGTTTGGAGGACAAAGAATGCTGAGTTGCATCCAAAGAACACCATACCTACTGTGAAGCATGGGGGTGGAAACATCATGCTTTGGGGCTGTTTTTCTGCAAAGGGACCAGGACGACTGATCCGTGTAAAGGAAAGAATGAATGGGGCCATGTATCGTGAGATTTTGAGTGAAAACCTCCTTCCATCAGCAAGGGCATTGAAGATGAAACGTGGCTGGGTCTTTCAGCATGACAATGATCCCAAACACACCGCCCGGGCAACGAAGGAGTGGCTTCGTAAGAAGCATTTCAAGGTCCTGGAGTGGCCTAGCCAGTCTCCAGATCTCAACCCCATAGAAAATCTTTGGAGGGAGTTGAAAGTCCGTGTTGCCCAGCGACAGCCCCAAAACATCACTGCTCTAGAGGAGATCTGCATGGAGGAATGGGCCAAAATACCAGCAACAGTGTGTGAAAACCTTGTGAAGACTTACAGAAAACGTTTGACCTGTATATATACACTAGATGAATAATCGGGCCGCTGTGTTGAAGCCACCATGCCTCCATCTTCGCCCCCCACCATTGTCAAAAATATTTTTGAAGCTATAAAAATGCAATTATTAATGTCTACATTCGTTTTTGCCTCATTTATTATATTACACACACCTTAATGCATACTTTCAAATTATATTGTGTGAGCTAAACATATATATTTTAATATATGTCCTTCTCACCTCATTTCACACCTGATTTATTTAACAAAAGGCACATCTCAATAGGTGGTCCAGGTAAATCATGACATAGCACAAGTGGGGTGGTTGGCCTTTCCTCTTCTGTTCTCTATGGCTCCTCAAGCAAGGGGGAGGCCAATGACATCACAGATTCCCATCAGACCAACTCCTTTAATGAATGTTACTTTTTTATTTTATTTTTACCCCTTTTCAATTGGTAGTTACAGTCTTGTCCCATCGCTGCAACTCCTATAAGGACTCATGAGAGGCGAAGGTCAAGAGGCATGCATCCTCCGAAACACTACCCTGCCAAGCCGCACTGCTTCTTGACACACTGCTTGCTTAAGCCGGAAGCCAGCCACACCAATGTGTCGGAGGAAACACTGTACAACTGGCGACCGAAGTCAGCATGCATGCGCCCGGCCCGCCACAAGGAGTCGCTAGAGCGCGTTGGGACAAGGACATCCCGGCCAAACCCTCCCCTAACCCGGACGACACTGGGCCAATTGTGCGCCGCCTCATGGGTCTCCCGGTCGCAGCCAGCTGCGACACATCCGGGTCTGTAGTGACGCCTCAAGCACTGCGATGCAGTGCCTTAGACCGCTGCGCCACAAATTATATTTTTGCCCTTTAGTCTGTGTACATTACTGTATTTATACTTGGGATTTCACTTTTCAACAGTAAAAGTAAAAAAAAATCACTGGAGGAACATCTTTAAAGTATAATTTTTTAGAGATGACTAATGTTACTATCTGGCCCTCATACCATCATGGCCACCTAATCATCCTCAGCTTCCAATTGGCTCATTCATCCCCCCTCAATGACCTTTAACTATTCCCCAGGTCATTGCGGTAAAATGAGAATGTGTTCTCAATCAACTTACCTGGTAAAACAAGGGTAAAATAAAATACAAATGAAATAATGTCCCCATGATAACAAAAAATAAAACATTTAATTGACATACTGTAGAATTCTATTCATTCCTATGTAGGACTGCTCCAACTGGTGAATGCCAATATGGCCGACTGGTGGCTTCAAAGCCTCTCAATGGCCAATACATACCATCAGCAATCCAGGGTTTATATACATCATTGGTTCAGACTTGCTCAGGTGGAACAAACTTAAACTTGTACCTTTTTTCAGTGCTGAATTGAATGTCATTGAGAAAACAGAAAGTTGTCATAATGTATTTTTATTTCTCACAAACATCATTTCTGAATTTAAAAGTAATCCAAGAAGTAATCATCTAGTTTTTCAAAAGTATCGTGGGTTTCATAACCACGTGTTTATAACAACTCAATAATGATGAGAAGTAGACAGGAATTCAGTTCAACCATTTATATGAATGTGCTCATCTCAACACATATTACCCATGATGCTCTGCTTATACAACTACGGTGCAAATAGTACAACCCTAATACACAACAATTACAATATTTTTGCGGTTAACGTCACTGATAACAGTTACAGTTTTTTTGTAATCAGATTACATGTAACTGATTATGTAATCAGTTACTCCTCAACCCTGCCTACAGGTAGGCTAGGCCTAAAATATCCCCTGGCTGTTCTCTAGGACCTCCGCTCTGTCTATGATCAACTCTCTCTGAAACCATTTAATTGCACCAAATAAGGCGAAGGAGGAGAGATTAAATATACAAGCCAACCCTCCCCTAGGAAACCCTAGGAAAATAAACAAAAGCTGTTATAGAAGTGTCATTCCTGGATGGAAATGCTGGAGAAACATAAGAGGATGCGCACTGTGGGAGAGTAGACTATATGCTTCCCGAGTTGAGAGAATGCAATTTCATCAGTGACACTGTGCCCAAATGGAATTGTGTGAGTCTTTGAGCTATTAAAGCCTATTCAGAAGAATAGGCAGTATGGTTTCTACTCCACAACACCACACATGAACATTAGTATTCCCAGGATATTACCAAATGACCTCGATTTTGGAACAGGCCCCTCTGTGCACTGTTATTATGTGTAGCCTATAAATTTGATCCAAAAGCACATTTCATTTCATTAATTAATCTCACTTTTCATCACACTCATACCAGACAAAAATGTTCTGCAAGCCTTGAGTGTAGACACCTGTCAAACAACGATTTATATATACACTAGTTTTGAAGCCACCGCACCTCCATCTTGGCACTCTCCAACCGTTGTCAAAAAATATTTTGGGAGCTATAGAAATCCGTTTATTAAAGTCTACATTTATTTTTGCCATGTTTATTATATTCCATATACCTTAATGCATACTTTTAAATTATATAATGTGAGCTAAATATATATATATTTTAAATTTTAATATGTAAAAACATTTTCCTTAAAGTATAAATTTTAGAAAGTTCTAATGTTACATTTTTAAATACATGGAATTTTTTCCTTTAAACATTTCATTAAAATACTGTAGAATTCCATTCATTCCTATGGAGGACTCCTTCTTCTAGGGAATGCAAATATGGCCGACCAGTGGCTTCAAAGCATCTCGCTGGCCAATACACAGCATTTGCAATCCAGGGTTTATATGAATCATTGGTGTCATCGGTTTACGTTCGGCCCCCCATTTGTGTGTAAAATTCAGGTAAAGATATTGTGACCTCTACTGGTTTCATAAGGTTATAACACCATGGCAAACTAATTATTATGCCATTTATGTAGGCTACTAATACCTCTATAGTATATCATCCATGATGGGTATGGAAAGTGTTTGGCTGAGGCATTTGACTCATCTGAAGAGAAAGTAGTTGGAAGCTATCCACAATAAAATCGTATTACCATGCATAGACCTAGGCTGTGTTCAATGGTAATTGATCAAACAAAGTAGTCTAGAAGTTACAGAAAAATGATTTGTCTTCCCGAAAATATAAATTATATGCGGGAATATTGCCTAATTAGCCTATTTTAAAGGGATAGTTCACCCAAATTACAAAATGACACATTGGTTTCCTTACCCTGCAAGCAGTGTATGGATAAGGTAACAGTAATCCATGCTTTGTCAGTGGAGGCTGCTGAGGGGAGGACGGCTCATAATAATGTCTGGACCAGAGCAAATGGAATGGCATTAAACACATGGAAACCATGTGTTTGATGTATTTGATACCATTCCACTGATTCTGCTCCAGCCATTACCATGAGCCCATCCTCCCCAATTAAGGTGCCACCAACCTCCTGTGGTTGGTTTTATTTCCCTGGCGCTGTTTCCAAATGCTAATGTTTCAGTATTTGTGGCACAAATCCCATTCAAGTCATGGGACCGATTTAAGCATTTTCCGCGCATCATGTACAAATCATACGAAAGTATAAAAAATGTAGCGTGAAGCTTATCAAAGTCACTTATAGATTATTTGAACATGATGCGCAAAAAAATTATAATATCTGTCCCATGACTTAAATCGAATTTGTGCCACAAATGCTAAATGTGATTTGTGCCACAAATGCATTTGGAAACAGTGTCAGGGTAACTAAACCAAAGCATGGATTGCTGTTATACCTTGTCCATAGACTGCTTACATGGTAAGGAAACAAATATGTAATTTTGTAATTTGGGTGAACTATCATGGCACTTGTAACGCCAGGGTAGTGGGTTCGATCCCCGGGACCACCCATAGTAAAAATGTATGCACACGTGACTGTAAGTCGCTTTGGATAAAAGCGTCTGCTAAATGGCATATTATTATAACTAAATAGATAACATCTACTGAAGAAATCTGATAGGCCTCTTGTAGCCTACACCAATATTTAGAATTCTCTGTTCATCTATACTTAATTCTGTCAGTGACAAGGCTGTGTGTCCACCAATATTGCTTTTGGAATTAGATCCAAGAAAGGGTAACCAACATAAGGTGCTACAAATATTACACACCAATACAATAACAAACACGTAACATTAAACAAAATATTTACTGTAGGCTATTTCCACAAATTCTCACTAATTATTTTCACCCCAAGAAAGTCACATATAAATATAATATAAGACTGCTTGAAATACACACTTTGCTGTTTTTTTGTACATTTGTCAGTAGGAAAATATTTTGTTCCTATCGTACTTTCCCTTTAATGTTTTTTTAGAAACATACCCTTTAATAATTTACCTGGCCATACCTGAATTTCCACCCACTGAAAATAAGTTGCACAAAAACAATAGAGGTGGGAAAACGACGTAAGAGACATTCCATAAAATTCCCACGCTCGTTGTTTGATAAGCGCTGAGGTTGGGTGAGTGTTACACTTTTATGTATTTTCAGTTGTATTTTCCAGCTTTGTATAACTAGCAGTCTTCTTGCGTGGTTGAAAGTCCAACATTTTATCTAGTGCGCTGGTATGAGAAACTTCCGTGTTGTGATCTGGAGTGCGCTTTGAAGGTCTGTGTACAACATTTGTCTTGACAGTTAACACATTCAGGCAACTTTATAACTCTATTTGTGTCTGTAATATATTTTATTTAGTGGTTTCACATTGCAAGCGTATTTTCTTTGGTTAGTCATGCGTAAATAGAGCCTTTCTTCTCTTAGACTACTCAAACAGCACAGGTCATAATGAGATGCATTGGGCGGAGCTTTGTTTGCAAGGGGCAGGGAGGGATTCTACTTGTCTTATCGTTCTTTTATTTTAATTGTATTATTATTATTATTATTATTATTATTTTCATTTATCAGACGCTATTATCCAGAGCGACTTACAGTTAGTGAGTGCATACATTTTTCATTCTTGGCTTACCTTACCTGTCGTGGAAAAGTGTCCACCTTAGAGACTATTGTTTGATAATTAATGACACTAGAATGCTGTCTGGAGTTACATCTTATCGGTTTTGGGGCATCATCTCTTGCGTGGGAAGACATGTATGACCTATGAATGTGCACTCTGTAAATGTACTTTTCTTTGTAGGTGAAGAAGAGCAGTTTACCATAAAACCAATAGAGCTGAGACACAAAGAAAAAAACAGACAATGTGATGTGACTTCAGTCAAAGTAAAAACACTCAATCAAGCATAGACTTACTTACAGATTCACCAAGACAGATGGACGAAGTCTGGAGACATTGAACACCTAAAAAAACCAATGACTGAGATCCTACCGTCAAACCTGGAGCTGCTAGAAGACAGCCCCTCCAAAACCAGCGGGGTGTCTGCTAAACCCCAAACCCCAACATGGGGGGCAGAGGGGGAGAAAGTGATTAAAGAATTGGAGGAAGATTTGGAAAAGGGGAGGGAAGGAGTGGTGGATGAAGAAGAAATGGTCAGCTCGGCTAAATTGGAACCTACCACTCTGCAATGGCCGGGTGACAGGGGTGTAGAGAAAACAACGAAGAAAGGAAGAGCATTGACTGAGAAAGAAGATAAGGGAAGGGGAAAGGGGGATGACCCAGAGGGAGAGAGGAGGAGCGTGCGCTCCATGTGCACCTCTCTTCAAGAAGGAGAAAGCCGGACGGAGAGCGAGAGAGGGCTGGGGTTGGGAGCGGAGAGAATGGGGGAAGAATGGATGGAGATGGAGAGAGAGGTGCAGGACCCAGGGCTGTGTAAGAGAGGGAAGAAGGTGCAGGTAGAGATAGAGGTGGAAGATGGTATGAACTCTTTGCCTGAGAAGGCAGCGCAGGTCTTTAACCCATCCGTCACCATCCTACACTCCTCTAGTGCTCCGACGTCTCCCAGAGAACGTGAGGCATCCTGGGTTGTTGACGCAGAGAAGAGCCCCCTCCTCGTTCCCCACGGAACCCCACCTGATGGCTACTACCACCACTGGCCAGTGGAGGGGGGATCCTCAAAATGTAAAGAGATGCACCAACATTTCATCATTCTGTCTTTTGGCCTCCAACCTCTCTTCTCTCCATGTCTCTGTCTTTCTCTTTGCTAGTCTCTCCCTTGTTCATTCAGCCACTGTGGCTCTGCTCAAATAGTTTTGCGAGTGCAAATTCATCCTTCCCTCTTCCCTTATTTGAGGTAATCTAATCTATAAGTGGTAGTGTTTCCGTTCGCTTTCTTTTACTTCACAGAGGGCAGGAAGACTAATAGTATCTCCTTTCTTCTCCCCTCCAGGTGGGTGTGACTGTGCCAACAGGGAAGCTCTCAAAGTGGGCGTGTCTGTGTTCACTGCAGCTCTCATTTTCCCCCTCCTGGTGTGGGGGGGCTATGTCTTCCTGCCTTTTGATGCCCCACTGTTGGACAGTGCCCCCCTCAGGCTGGTCTACACGCTACGCTGCTCTGTTTTCGCTGTGGTGCCCATCATACTGGGTGAGTGGCTCATTGGTCATTCAGCAGATGTTCTTTACCAGAATTACTCAGGTGTGAACAGCAAGGTGAGTCGAACAACAACACCATCGTCACAAGCTAACCCTCATGTTGTCCTCCCAGGCTGGTTGGTGCTGGGTGTCTCCAGGATGCGGTTGGGTGATGTGAAGCCGCTGTGTGAGGTGGAGGCCTGGGAAGTGGGTGTGCACCGGCGCTATGTGGATGACTCCGTCACCCTCTTCCTTCTCTACTTCCTGCAGCTGGCCGTTATGGCGCCCTACCTGAGCCAGGACCTGCTCAAACTGGTGCCCCTGTTCACCATCATCTTCGCCTTCGGAAGGTAATGAAACAACAATACACCAGAGAGATGCAGTGAAATGTGTTGTCCAATTTCAGTGCTCAGTCAGTCATAACCCTATACCTACCCTATATGACATGTGATCTCAATATAAGGCGGTCTGGGCAGACTATAGAAATGACTGCATCTGTCTAATGTCCATCTCTCCTCTGTGCCAACAGGCTGATGTACTGGGTGGCAGCTGCACTGGGCAGCAGTATTCGGGGCTTTGGCTTCGGCCTGTCCTTCCTGCCCACCATGGCCATGCTGGGTGCCAACCTCTACTTCATCGTCACCATGGACGCTGGGGGCACCATCTTCGCCCAGGATGTGGTGCACCAACAAGACCCACCCCCAGACTCCCGCCAGAGGTTCTGGGGATAGGGGGATGGAGGAAAAACAGAAGGAATGGAACGATGGGGAAGAGGGACAGGATCTGTTTTACCTACTGGTGGAATTTAACTTTCAAAGGGTTACTATGTAAACGGTAGTGGATCGTTCTAGAGTGTGATTAAACCACACTGATGATGTGTATAATAGACTGGGCAGTGGTAGTCAGTGATAGAGCATGTAAAAACAGTAATTGGAGAAAGGGTGTCTACGTTATAGTTCATCTTCTTGCATGGCATTAAACCGTCACTTTAGTGAAACAGTAGAATGTATTCTGTAGAAGATCTGCTAATTGACAGAAGGACAATTAAGTACCATGGAATAATGTTGAAATCACAATTGTTGTCTCAATGCAAAGAGTTAATGAAAATAGAGTTTGTAGTTCCACTCAGAATTGTGCCACTTGGGGAAGTTTCGACAACAACCAAACCACTGTCTTCCTCAGAAATATCTAGCTAGGCCTGCTGCAGACAAATAGTTTGCTGAACTGTGCTGTTTGGTTTGACAAGTATATCTGTACTTGAGGCATCCTGTAATCTATTGTATTGCATTTGGTAATTAATCTGGTATTACAGGCTAATAACATTAATTGCATTGACATTTGGGATGTAATATCAGGTTTATAGAGAAAAACTAAGACTTGCTCTAGACCTTCTAGTCAATCAATTTCCTCTTGAAAATGTTCAATATAACCAATCAAAAAATCACGTTCTGTGATAAGGTCATCGACTACTGAGTGGACATTTTGTCTCATATCTTCATGACTGTATTTCCTTTTAAAAGGATGTCCACACATTAGCAATGCAATTATAACAGCTAACAAGTCATTTAAAGATAATGGATTTAGTACAAAGACTTTGACATTGAGAACCATTTCACAATTGGAGAATGTGGATTGCATGGCATTTTGTGTCCCCACAAAAATGGCAACGTCCTTATAGAAATCCAACCTGTCCCAACAAGTACCTACAGTGAGGGAAAAAAGTATTTGATCCCCTGCTGATTTTGTACATTTGCCCACTCACAAAGACATGATCAGTCTATAATTTTAATGGTAGGTTTATTTGAACAGTGAGAGACAGAATAACAACAAAACAATCCAGAAAAACGCATGTCAAAAATGTTATAAATTGATTTGCATTTTAATGAGGGAAATAAGTATTTGACCCCTCTGCAAAACATGACTTAGTACTTGGTGGCAAAACCCTTGTTGGCAATCCTTGTCAGATGTTTCTTGTAGTTGGCCACCAGGTTTGCACACATCTCAGGAGGGATTTTGTCCCACTCCTCTTTGCAGATTTTTCCCAATCATGGTCGACTGCGTTGGCATACGAATCCACCTGGTACCAGACAATCTCTGATGAGGGCAAAACTTTTGTTCCCTGCCGATTTTTCTAATTTCCAGTCGAAGACTGGCAGGCTATAACTTAATGGTGTTTTCTTGAGCATGTGTGGCAGCTGCTTAACGATCTGTAACCCATTCCAGACCGTGTCTACAATGTTTGACATTTGGATTTTGTCTTTGGATGGTGGAATAGTTTTGACCCTGATTGAAATGACTATACTTGTGAAAATTATTGGCTCCTTGTCAGATGTTCTTGTATTAGGCAACACACGAGATTGGCACACCCCTTAGGGGTTTTTGTCCTAACTCCTCTTGCCTTATCCAAGACACTGAGGATCTTCGAGCTGAGAGGGGCAAATACTTTTTTCTTCCCTCCACATATTTTCTATGGGATTAAGGTCTGGAGACTGGCTAGGCTACTCCAGGACCTTAATGTGCTTCTTCTTGAGCCACTCCTTTGTTGCCTTGGCCATGTGTTTTGGGTCATTGTCATGCTGGAATACCCATCCAAGACCCATTTTCAATGCCCTGGCTGAGGGAAGGAGGTTCTCACCCAAGATTTGACGGTACATGGCCCCATCCATCGTCCCTTTGATGCGGTGAAGTTGTCCTGTCCCTTTAGCAGAAAAACACCCCCAAAGCATAATGTTTCCACCTCCATGTTTGACGCTGGGGATGGTGTTCTTGGGGTCATAGGCAGCATTCCTCCTCCTCCAAACACTGCGAGTTGAGTTGATGCCAAAGAGCTCGATTTTGGTCTCATCTGACCACAACACTTTCACCCAGTTCTCTGAATCATTCAGATGTTCATTGGCAAACTTCAGACGGCCCTGTATATGTGCTTTCTTGAGCAGGGGGACCTTGCGGGCGCTGCAGATTTCAGTCCTTCACGGCGTAGTGTGTTACCAATTGTTTTCTTGGTGACTATGGTCCCAGCTGCCTTGAGATCATTGACAAGATCCTCCCGTGTAGTTCTGGGCTGATTCCTCACCGTTCTCATGAGCATTGCAACTCCACGAGGTGAGATCTTGCATGGAGCCCCAGGCCGAGGGAGATTGACAGTTATTTTGTGTTTCTTCCATTTGCGCGAATAATCGCACCAATTGTTGTCACCTTCTCACCAAGCTGCTTGGCGATGGTCTTGTAGCCCATTCCAGCCTTGTGTAGGTCTACAATCTTGTCCCTGACATCCTTGGAGAGCTCTTTGGTCTTGGCCATGGTGGAGAGTTTGGAATCTGATTGATTGATTGCTTCTGTGGACAGGTGTCTTTTATACAGGTAACAAGCTGAGATTAGGAGCACTCCCTTTAAGAGTGTGCTCCTAATCTCAGCTCGTTACCTGTATAAAAGACACCTGGGAGCCAGAAATCTTTCTGATTGAGAGGGGGTCAAATACTTTTTTCCCTCATTAAAATGCAAAAAAATGTATAACATTTTTGACATGCGTTTTTCTGGATTTGTTTGTTGTTATTATGTCTCTCACTGTTCAAATAAACCTACCATTAAAATTATAGACTGATAATTTCTTTAAGTCAGTGGGCAAACGTACAAAATCAGCAGGGGATCAAATACTTTTTTCCCTCACTGTACCTGCCCAGGCGGTCCAACCTCCATGCCTTTATCTCTGAAAACGAATCCTTTCACAATACAGCACAGCCCTGTAAGGGCGATTGTGAATGGAGTTGTTACTGTATTTTAAAATAGACCAATAATAGAAATGTATCTATTTTTAAATGTTATGAATTAAATCTGATTTTTACAGTGCAGGTATAGAATTTATGAAATGTATAACTACACTGATTTCATTCTACATTTCCAAGTAAACTTCAGCTAATTACAGTCTAAAAGTGTAGAGTCTATTTAATGTCTATGATAGTCTTTTCTTATGATTTTCTTTTACTTTTTATATATTTTCTCAAAATGATAAATGTAAATAAATTATACTTAACAAGTGATGTTTTTATTGGCCTTTCATTTGCATCATTAGTGAAGCTGCCATTTTTATTGGTATGAAAGCCTTTTCGTGACCAATAAAAATCAGCAAGCATTGAAGGTAGACCTACAGTCGTGGTCAAAAGTTTTGAGAATGACACAAATACTAATTTTCACAAAGTCTGCTGCCTCAGTTTCGATGATGGCAATTTGCATATACTCCAGAATGTCATGAAGAGTGATCAGGTGAATTGCAAAGTCCCTCTTTGCCATGAAAATGAACTTAATCCCAAAAAAGCATTTCCACTGCATTTCAGCCCTGCCACAAAAGGACCAGCTGCCATCTTGTCAGTGATTCTCTCGTTAACACAGGTGAGAGTGTTGACGAGGACAAGGCTGGAGATCACTCTGTCATGCTGATTGAGTTAGAATAACAGACTGGAAGCTTTAAAAGGAGGGTGGTGCCTGAAATCATTGTTCTTCCTCTGTTAACCATGGTTACCTGCAAGGAAACACGTGCCGTCATCATTGCTTTGCACAAAAAGGGCTTCACAGGCAAGGATATTGCTGCTAGTAAGATTGCACCTAAATCAAAAAAATTTCGGATCATCAAGAACTTCAAGGAGAGAGGTTCAATTGTTGTGAAGAAGGCGTCAGGGCGCCCAAGAAAGTCCAGCAAGCGCCAGGACCGTCTCCTAAAGTTGATTCAGCTGCGGGATCGGGGCACCACCAGTGCAGAGCTTGCTCAGGAATGGCAGCAGGCAGGTGTGAGTGCATCTGCACACACAGTGAGGCAAAGACTTTTGGAGGATGGCCTGGTTGTCAAGAAGGGCAGCAAAGAAGCCACTTCTATCCAGGAAAAACATCAGGGACAGACTGATATTCTGCAAAAGGTACATGGATTGGACTGCTGAGGACTGGGGTAAAGTCATTTTCTCTGATGAACAAAACCCCACAAATTCTGACAAACTCCAAGCATTGATTATGCCAGAATGGGCTGCCATCAGTCAGGATGTGGCCCAGAAGTTAATTGACAGCATGCCAGGGCGGATTGCAGAGGTCTTGAAAAAGAAGGGTTAATGTAATTGTGAATAAAAGCCTTTGACACTTGTGGAATGCTTGTAATTATACTTCAGTATACCATAGTAACATCTGACAAAAATATCTCATTACACTGAAGCAGCGAACTTTGTGAAGACCAATACTTTTGTCATTCTCAAAACTTTTGACCATGACTGTATGTGCATTACAGTTGTTCTGAATGGGCACCTGTTTTCGGATGGTGCTATTGCTGCATTCACAACCAAGTGGTAAGGTGGTATTTATCACCTACGACTGGGAGAAATCCACTTGAACACACTTCCAACTCCTAATTACTAGCCTTGGTGATTTACTGCCACCTGCAGTTATGGAATGTTTGCTCACGAGTGTAATTCATTGGCTGAGCCCTCCTGATGACCTGGATGGAAATATATAATCTTTCCTTAACCTGTAGGAAGTCCCACCCAGTTGACTACTTCAAAATGGTGAAACTCCTCAACGGCGCTGCCCATGCTAAAACTGGCTTTTGGGCACTAGTGTCCTCTATCTATCTCTGTGTGAAATTTGTCTATCACCCCTGATCGCAGACTTCTCCCACATACTGACCTCTGACCTCACCTACTAAGGAAATTACCTTGATAACAGCATAATAATTTGTTTACAAGCATTATAGCTGTACTTTTAGTTTATGGTTGACGCAGCTTGTTGGCCATTAGTCATCTGGCGTTTGTCAACGAGTTCAAAGCATGTGAATGCATACAACTGGTCGGAGATATCCGAGTTCCCAGTTGTTTTGAACGCGGCATAACATCAAGCCTATGACATAGGCCTACATTTTTCGAATGGACTAACTGGCTCCCATTTTTGTCGGCGGTAAAATATTGTTCACGTACACCCAAACTTCTCGTTTATTTATGGTCTGGCCACAGGGAAGTCTGGGTTCAGAATGACAAGAAAGCTACCCCTTGCACGTGAGTTTTAAAGTAGGCCTATCTCATCTGTACCCCAGGGGTATTTACCACTAAAGTTATCGAAGTGAAGGGACAAGAGGAGTAAAATATGGCAGCTGCACCAGCTAGAAGAAAACACGGCGCATGTCTGCTTCGAATCAAAGAAAATTGTCCATTGCGAAAATTTAGGAAAAACAGGTGTTACGGTAAGAACATGATTGTTTTCAAGAATTGATGGATAAAAATATATAGCCTATAAAAATGCATAACATTTACGTATAGACGAATTATACCACCCAGGAAGTTAGGGTTGAAGTTGACACTTCACAGATCCCTGTCGGCCTTGCACTGTATGAATTTGACAGTAAAATGTCTATTGAATTTGATAGCCTAAATGCTATAGCCTGATAATACATTAGGGGTAGGCCTATTATAAATAATAATCTTACATTTTAAAGTTTTATTTACTATAAAGCGACACTATAAAATGTGTATATCAAGGGAGCAAATGCACGACTTTATCCACATGCAAACACCTTTATGTATAGTGCTGAAGGAATAACATTCTAGAAGATAAACATTACATAATTTGTTTACCAGTATACATTTTATGTCAACATAAACATAAACAATGGAGTAAAACGGCCTTATATTACGGTAAGACTACTGTACTTATCAAATAATGAATAATAAGTAATATTCATCCAAATCAAGGGGTAGGCTATATTGCATTAGTTGAAATTACTGGAAATCTGACTGTGGCTTTAAAATAAGTAGTCTGTGTTGTTAACTGCCAATGCTGATGCTCCACCACCATTGTTTGCAACAGTTTTGAGGAAGTTGGAGGCCAAAGTAGTAAGGCAACATTTAGTCCCAACGTATCATGCGGTTGCTTAAGACTTGTCCATCAGGATTGCCATACCTGTCCGAAAGTACCCGCACTACTCTACGCCTACACCTGAACACCTCCTGTCAAGTACTTCAGTTGCACTTGCTGTCAAGAGCTGGTTGCCCAGGGTGGGTGCATGTCAGCAGGGTAAAAAGGCTTCCTGCATGGTCTCCTCTCCTTCAACTGGACTAATCTGAAAATAATTTGAAGTAAAGTCGTTGAAGCTAACTACTGAAAATTGCTTTCACCAGTCCAGTTCTTTCACATCAGTGCAGATGAAGGAAATTAGATAAGGAGAGGAAATCACTTCAGAGTATTGATACTTAGGCCTAATTGTCTTTTTTACATTTCCCTTTGGCAGATGTTACAGCCGCACCTTCGGCTGGTGGTGGGGTGTGTTCGGGAGACTTCAGTAAGCACCCCATTTCTGCATCCAAAACCGGACCTATCAGCACCATCTATGTAGAGCCCCTCCCTCCCTCCTATCAGTCTATTTACCGTCCCCACCAATCACAGGACCCCATTGGTAAGACACTTAAAACACTCGCATGGCCATCTTTCCAAATGTCTTGTTGAGTGGTCTCCAAAGGCTAATCGTTAACTGACCTCTTTTATCAGGAGCTGTGATATGGTAGTTACTGGTTATTATTAGTATTAGAAGTTACCTCTCTCGATCTCTCTGATAATCCTATTATAAATGGGAGCAATATTTTGGGAACATTGCTCTCACCTATGCAACTTGTCAGATCAGTGATTGTTTTGTTGAAGTAATGAAGAATGTATGCTATTGGGAAGTGCTTCACAGAGCCATACACTTGAGTATACAAAACATTAAGAACAACTGCTCTTTCCATGACAGACTGACCAGGGGCCTCATTTATAAACCGTGCATATGCATAAAATAGACCCCAAAACATGCGTGCGCCAGTTTTCACACAAAAGTTGGCATTTATAAAAACTGAACTTGACATGAAAATGTGCTCACCTTCCCACAAACTTTAGACCATGCGTAAGCACAGTTTCTAGTGGTTGAAGTATTGCATTGCAAGCAGGCAAGTAGATTAGTATTTTGTGCAAATGGGGGATATGAACAGGTTAAACAGGTTAATAACAAGATGCAATCATTTGATGTTAGTGAGAAGAGAGAAAATCTATTTAGTTTATCTTTGCATTTTAAATCCTAGGCTATTATTTATTTAATTTCCATGATCATTGCATAGTAAATTCCTCACCTTCTCTGTGATGGTTTCATACTCACGAGGTAGCATAGGCGGTTGTAGGTTACTTCTGTAGCTTACATCAGAATACTGTAATTTCACATTTCTCGAGTACACAATATTGCATTTATACACATAATGGGTTCATATTCCCGAAGTAGCCATAGCCTCCAACAAATTACCATGCGTATCTCATTTAATTGACCCTTCGCTATGCTATATTTGGGCAACCAATCATTTGAAACGCATCAAAGCTATTAAGGGATTTACAAAAACATTGTTTAAATGGCTAAATAATTTAACAGTGCACCAGGGGTACTTGCTACTGTGATTCCTGTAGGGCTGACCCCAATTAGTTGACTGGCCAGTTGTTTGGTCGATAGGCTGCTGGTCGACCAATATTTTCTTTAGTCGAGCAGTAGCAAATATATATACAGAACCAGTCAAAAGTTTGGACACACCTACTCATTCAAGGGTTTTTCTTTATTTTTACTACTTTCTACATTGTAGAATAATAGTGAAGACATCAAAACTATGAAATAACACATATGGAATCATGTAGTAACCAAAAAAGTGTTAAACAAATCAAAATATATTTTATATTTGAGATTCTTCAAAGTAGCCACCCTTTGCACACTCTTAGCATTCTCTCAACCAGCTTGACCTGGAATGCTTTTCCAACAGTCTTGAAGGAATTCCCACATATGCTGAGAACTTGTTGGCTGCTTTTCCTTTGCTCTGCGGTCCAACTCATCCCAAACCATCTCAATTGGGTTGAGGTTGGGTGATTGTGGAGGCCAGGTCATCTGATGCAGCACTCCATCACTCTCCTTGGTCAAATAGCCCTTACACAGCCTGGAGGTGTGTTGGGTCATTGTCCTGTTGAAAAACAAATTATAGTCCCACTAAGCGCAAACCAGATG